ATGGGAGGCCACCCTAGGTTTTGTAGCACAGAGATGACCTTCCTAAAATTCCAGAGAATGAACCACATACCAAAACTCCTCCTTTTCAAAGCTATGTCATTCTAGCTTATTTAAAGTGTAGTAAGAACTAGAATGATATTTTAATAGAAAACTGTGTCCTTATTCATAAAAAATAAATTTTATTGATTATGACTTTAAAGGTACATAAATTATGACTCAACTAATTTTCTAGACAAATTCTACTCATTATGATTAACAAAATTCTTTTACATTGGCATGACTGTTTCTATTTTAATAAGGTCAGAACAAAGATCAACAATTGTAGCTATGCAATAATAAAATATAGTTGGTTTTTCTTCTATAAAAGTACTTTTTCAAACTGTGGCTGCAGGAAGGAATTAAGTGCTCATTCTCTAGAATTATATTGAGCTTTACTGATTTTCCTAAATAAAGGAGACTCAGAATTAATGCTTTAATTTCCCTAAGCTCTTTAGCTTAAGTCTGTCCTTTCTTATGATAACACTTTATTAATAAGTTAGATACCAAACGATTTATCTTACATACACTTATTTGCAATGTGCAGATTTTCTTTTCTGTTTAAAATGTGTGCATTGCTTTAGAAAAGCAATGGAGAAATATTAAAAACATAAATTAAGGCAAGCACAAAGCCTTGGAGGATTTTCCAATATTAGATTTGGACACATTTTAAATGAAGAACATGTTTCAGGCTCTGAATAGCAGCAAATGATGGAAAACAAACAGCCCGTTCGGACTTGCCTAGGAGCCTCCAGCTCAGGTTCAAACATCTGCGCAGATGAGATTAAGTCATTAATGAGGTTTCTGACTGTTGCATGCTCTCGCACCATGAATTTGCCCAATAGAATCACGAGTTATCTCACATGCATTAGCAGAATGCATTTCACTCGCAAGAGAATATTCATGTGTATTATTTGTTTAATTGTTGATGAGTAGCTTTTGCTGCTTCCCCGACATGACTGCTACGGCTGGGATCAGGAATTGAACCTGAGGAGATGGAACAGGATGATGTCAAGTGGATCCTACAAGTTTCTAATGAATGCTGTTAATCTCATTAGCTGGGAATTAAAATCCAACATAAAACTAGTTCCCAACAGCATGACTGTTTTCATTATCTCCTTGAAAACAGAGGCTTTTTTTTTTTTTTGCCTTGCATCTTAAAGTCTAAAAGAATAGGAAACGGGGAGAATGCAGAAGACTGAGTGGTAACCACCCTGATTTCTTTGTGGTTACACCAGCATTTAAAACAGCTGCTGAGATAAACTCTTGGGCTGTGCCAGCTCTCACTCCCAAGCAACACACAGTTGCTATGTGAGCAAATGTTTGCAGCCTCTGCGGTTCCTGAGGCCCCCTCTCACCTGTGGGCGGCTCCAGCCTCTGAGCCCAGTCTTGTGTGGCACCAGGTCTGCCTTTCTCAGAAGATGGAGTACCCCAGTGTGCCCTCTCAGTGCAGCACATCCACCTCCCTTCCCGGGCTGGATACAATCCAAAACACATTGCTCACTGTGGCATCAGAGGAGCAGCTTTTAACTGGAGTGTGCTGGACTTTTTAGCAAACCGGTGAGGAAAGATCTGGAAGAGTCTGGAACTTTTTGCACCCTTTAGAGCATCCTCTGCAGGCATCATGCCCACTCTGCCTACAGAGACCCCAAGCTTCCTAGGGGTTGCTGAACGCAGCTAGGAACCATGCCTGTCACACGGAATACTCCTGAAGATGAGGCCGTCTAGGAAACGTCTTTAAAAACAAAATTTCAGTTTTTTCCTCTATAGCCTTACGCATTCATAACTTCTTTTCTACAAAATCATTGCAGCAAGACAAATTAAATAAAATTAACCCATAAAAGAGTAGAAATGACCTTAAAGCAGGATTTATAAAGAAAAGCTGCAGTTTTCCACAGTATCTTCACCCTTCCCTACTTGAGTTGCTGCCTTAAGACAAGCACATCTAATACTGCAGCTGAGAAAATCCTTAGTCAGAAAGAGGGACTTAAACCTTGTTATCAAGACATATATATATATATATACACATGTAAAACCAACTCCCAGGATGCCAGAATCCTACACAGCTACGAGTTTCTCAACTGCTCCACTTTTGATCCAGCTTCCTGTTTGCAAGCTGGGAAAGGCAGCAGATCACACCAGCGTTTATTTCCAGGTCTCCATGCCACTCACATGGAAGCCATGGAAGAAGCTCCTGGCTCCTGGCTTTTGCCTGGCCCAGAACTAGACATTGTAGCCATCTGGCAAGACAATCAGCTGATGGAAGATCTCCATGGATCTCTCTCTCGTAGCTCTGGCTTTCGAAATAAATACATATTTATAACACATACACATGCTTGTGTCTCAATAAGCTAATTTGCATTACTACATCATTCACATAAATAATTCAACATGGCAGTATGTACCCAGAGCAACTTACTTTATATAAATGCGCCATGTTAATAAAAACTTAGGGCCAATGAAGACCAATATGTGCTCCAATTTCTGCACAAAGCAACATCTGCTGAAGGGCCATATGTGCCAGGAACTATATGAACCATTTAATAGTTGATTTCCTATTTAATATTTATAACATGAACTACACTTTATAAGCACATTTAAAGACCATGAAATCTGTTCATCATGCCGTGAGCCTTTGCTGGATCATTGTTTTTCATTAATTTCTTACAACTGATCCTCTTCCAACTTTGCATAAAGGAGGTGCCCACAACTGGTGGATTTGGCTTTTCCCCTGGACTCTAATCCACTTCTGGGACCACAGCCTGGCACTGTCCAGTCCTTGTCTGCTTCCTGCGGGAGTAGCCAGGGCCTGATCTCTAGCCAAGCTTCCTAAATTAGCACCTATTCCACAAAACTATATAGAGCCCTGTCCCCGGGCTGTACCTTTTGACTGCTTGTCCACGAGCTTGGACATCGTTTTGGCAAAGGCAGAAAACCTCGCCTGAGGATGTCTGGAACAGCCTCTTACCTTCTCTCCATCTAGGCTCTGAAATAGCATTGTTTTTTTCTTTGAATGTGGCCTACTTGTTTCAGTTGTAACTTCTTCCGAGCCTTGCCAATCCTTAGAGACTTCACTTTCAAACTCATTTAAGTGTTCAAGCAGAAATTGCTGCTTCTCAAATGCTATGTGCATTGTTTCGCTCGATCACTTTCATTTTCAGTAAACATCTTTCAAAACTTGCTGCTTTTCACTTACTTTTGAATAATGTGTCATTCTGTTGAATGCATTAAGCTTGTTGAGCATGTTCCCACTAGAATTGGCAGATCAGAACGAGGGCTGCGGTTTTCACGTCGTGTTTGCTCTAGAGTGGATGGGCATTTACCTGTGCATGTCCCATGGTTCTCTCTTGATTTTTAAGACAGAAGTTTGATGCTTTCAATGGTGCATCCTGTTTACAATGACGTTATCCAGCCTCTGTTATTAGCCATCAACATGTCCATTCAATCATCCTGAAACTCCGATGTTGTTTCCTTTGTGAAAGCCAAGGGACTTCTCCCTCTGAGCGCCACTTTCCCAGCACCGCAGAAAGCTCCCTCACCACCAGACTATTTCCCAAACACTTCCTGGGATGTACAAACTATAAGGTTTACACGCTCAGAGCAGTGATGGGCCACGGCCGGGCTTACACGCTCAGAGCAGTGACGGGCCACGGCCGGGCTTACACGCAGAGCAGTGATGGGTCAGGGCCGGGCTTACAGGCTCAGAGCAGTGATGGGTCAGGGCCGGGCTTACACACTCAGAGCAGTGACAGGTCAGGGCCGGGCTTCCACGCTCAGAGCAATGATGGGTCAGGGCCGGGCTTACACACTCAGAGCAGTGACGGGTCAGGGCAGGGCTTACACGCTCACGGCAGTGACGGGCCAGGGCCGGGCAGTCGGACAATGTGTGTGTTTCAAGTTCTTTCCAAAAACATCTGGTTTGCTCGAGTCAGTTTGACTTCTCTCATAGCACAGGAACTCTTTTCAGTTTTGATGGTTACTAAGCAGGTAACCACTGGGTTTGGACTAAGTGATAAGTGCAAAGTGAAGTTGCTGGAGTGAGAAAAAAAATGTTTCCCCTTGACTTCCTCTCATAATCCTCCTAAGAAAACTTCCAATCACCTGCCAGGTTGGGACAAAGAATGTCTGTCAAGACAAAAGCACCTGCCCTGGAACCAGCTGGACAGATCGTGCAGTTTCTATTCCATGACAGCTGTGAAAAGCGAGACTTGGAAACCTGCTAATTCAATCAGGAGCGGCTTAATACAATTTGACAGATTTCCAATATACATCAGGCTATGCTGCTATTTGGGAATAAAAATAAATTCCCACCACACAAACACAGCTTCAGGAGCAGCAGAAGCAGACTGCACATGCTGCCGGGGAGCCGGAAGAAACTGAAAATTAACAGAGCTGGCCTTCATCATACAAGAAAGAAATTAGAAAAGCGTCTACTGTCCAAAGCCAGGGCGTTCCCTGCATATTAGGGCAAAACCTTTGATGGACCGGAAGTCCCACTAGATAGTCCAGGCCACACACTCACCTTCAGATTTCTGGGTTCCAAATCAAACAGTAAATCTTTGAGGCTTATGTGCTGTAAGGTAATAAAGCTCCTACGGAAGCCGGCAACCTACGGCGGTGGTCGGGGGTGGGGCAAAGGGGAATCATTCCAATAAAGCAAACAGCCTCCTTCTTGACAAAAATACTGCAGGAATATCTCAGAGCAAGCCTTGGGAGTGCACGGGAATGCACTGCTTACCAAATATCGTAAAAGCACTTAAAGAACAAATTAGAACAGCAACAACAAGAAATGATGAGGTCATAAACATAATGCATCATTCAACGCATAAAACCCTTCAATTAAGAAAAGAAGTGATGGGTTCTGCCAGCAAAAACCTCCTCACAGGGCGGCCGCCGCTCCCTGCACTTGCTGGCCAACAGCATAGTTCTGCCCCAGGGTACCTGATCCACTGAGCATTCAGGGGAATGAACAATGCAAAATTTCTAAGTGAAATATTCCGATTTTAAAGACTGGCTTGAGACCAAGCCTACCTGTGGGTGTTTGGGCTGGGACTGTTTCAGCATCTGTCTGCTCCCCACGGTCCTTGTGCGCCATCAGCTCCCCGCAGCCACCTGCCAGGCACTGCTACAGTCACATCTGGTGGGTCAAGAATGTGTCTATGTAACATATTTGATGTGTAACATCTTGCAACATCATGTAGCAATTTTAAGCCAGTTTATGTAAAAAAAATAGCCACTCACTGTACTCTGAAAAATACTGTATACAACTGAGCATATATTTTACAATTCATCAATTATTTTTAAAATCTGAAAGTGTCATTATTTTTACTACAAATAATCAGTGAAATACTAGATGAAGAGCCCCAAAATGTGCTGTCTTTCCAAGTCATTCTCTCTGGGGACACATACACAAAACTGCATATGAGAGATAATTTTATTATTATTTTGTAACTGTTTTTTTTAAATTAAACAATATATCAGAGAGTTAACTCTGTCACCACTAAAATATCTCATTTTTAAGGGCTTTATAGAATTTCAGGATTATTATATTTATACAAAGAAACTAATATGTATTTTAAAAATAGTTATTTATTTAACCAGAATGTATTTGCAAACCTTCACCTTGCTTGTATTAGTTCACTGTCAAAAACAGTGAAACAACAAACATATATCTAATATATTTGTTCAATTGTGTGGCAGTTGTCTCTTGGGGATAATTTCCTAAGTCGTGCTTAAAAATGCATTTAGGTTCTGATGAATATTAGCAAATTACTTACAAAAATTCATACGAATCCATGTTCTTATCAACAAGGAGGGGATCCTTGTCATTTTGTGGTCTTGCAGGTCTTTCCGTTTTGACTTGTGGTTAACCTGATAAGTCTATGGTTTCGTGTGTATTTCCATTCATTGTCTAGTAATTGAGGTTTTTTTTAATATGCAAACACTATTTCTGATATTTACCTCCTTGTTCTCTGGGTCATTTTCTCTTTGGAATTACAAGAGTTGGTGACATATTGATGACCAATCTTCTACAAAACATACTCCAACAGTATCTGTCCCGATTTAGGATTATCTCACAGCACTGCTGCAGGTGCAGCGTTTGCCGTGCGGCCATTCCATTGTTGTGTCCTTATTTTGTAGCTAAGTTTTCTGAACTTTCTGTTTTCTTCAGTGAGGACGTTAGAATGAACTTTTTCATCTAAATTTCATTTCAAAATTTATATTTTTCTTGGATTGGTATTTATATTTCAATATCTATCAACTCCTTTTTTTAAAAAAAGAAATTTAGAATCTGTTTCAGTAAAATCTATTCCATCCCACCTATGTGTGTTATATTATCAAATCATTTCAACTGTGAAAATGTTATGCAGAGTATTTTTAAAATGAAGAGAGAAGATATTTTTTTCAATTCTCTGAAGTGTCTTAAGTTCTCAGAAATGCATCCTTCTGTGTGAACACAGACAAAGAAAAAATCACACTGCGTTTTCACTGGATTCTTACGGGACACAGTGAACTTAGACTTGTCTCTACAGCACCGGTCCTTCCTTGCCAAAAATAAGCAAAATTTCTTCATCTATAGGAATATATATATATATACATATATATATTCACCAACATATTTTAATGAATTTCTTCATAAGAAAAACACGTTTTGATGTGCATTTGATCGGTTCTTATTTAAAACAATATCCTTTCCAGTTTCAAGTAAAATTCCTCAATTGCTATTTTTAAGTCACAAGCACATTGTTTTGAACCTTTAAAAAAAATGAATTCTTTAACTATTAAGTGGCTTTATGCATATGCTTTGTTGAGATGAAAAGAATCAATATATACTACGGTGCAGTTGATATAATCACTGGTTGAGCAGTAAAGGTGATGCTCGCTTGGGTGGGGGGAGCATTGTAGCGTAGCAGCTTAAACCTCCACCTGTGACATTAGCATCACACGTGGGTATTGGTCCAAGATCTGTGTACTCCACTTGTGTTCTAGCTCCTTGCAAATGTGCCTGGGAAAGTAACAGAGGCCTGCCCAAGTGCTTGGGTCCCTACACCTGCATGGGTGAGGTACAGAACAGGCTCTAGGCTCCTGGTTTTAGGCTGGCCAAGTCCTGGCTTTGCAGCCATCCGGGGAGTAAACCAGCAGATAAAATGTTTTTCTCTGTGTGTGTTCCTGCCTTTCAAATAAATAAAAACAAAAAATAAGAAATCTTAAAAAAAGAAACGACGCTGCTTGGCAGGGGTCCAGTGCTGTGGAATGGCAGGTAAAACCATTGCTATTATGCCAGTATCTCATGCAGGCACCGATTCAAATCCAAGCCACGCTACTGCCAACCAAACTCCCTGCTAATGCTCCTGGGAAAGCAGAGGACTTACCCCCAAACCGATGCCGAACTGTCACTGAGACAATCATAATGTGCATGCACTCATCTCTCAAGGAAGCAAACAGATATATTTTATTCATCTACTTTACTCTGTACACTTGTATACAATTCTCTGGAGTTTATAGTCGCTCTTCTGTTCCCAGGACATATAAGCCTGAAAACACTTCCCAATAATGCATTGGTTCTTCTGTATTGGTAGAAAGGAGTCTTTTGTTGTTGTTGGCAATGTTGTTTGATTTCCCCAACATTTAGTTAGATAGGAGTGCAGTGCCTTTATTTCTTTTTCTCAGTTGCATTTACCTTTTAAAAGGCACAGTAATGGAGAACTGATCTTTCAGCCTCTGGGTCACCCCCAAGTGGCCACAACAATTGCACTGGGTCAGACCATAATCGGGAGCCTGAAGCCCCAGCTGGGGTCCTCCATCTGCCTCCCAAGCATGGCAGCAGGAAGCTGAATCAGAGACGGAGTGAGCGAGGCAGGGTTCGAACGACTGTGCCCCAGTGTCTACTGTGCGTGCCCAGTTCCCATACAAGTAACATACACAATCAGAACATCACTCCAGTGGGCGGAAGTCCACTTGGTTCTAATAAAGCCCAGCTTCACTTTCCTTATCCTTCTTTACAATGCCCCTTATAATGTAATCAATGTGCATAGATGTACCCATGTTTGTTTTAAATTTATCTCAAACAGCATTAACTTGGTCTTCCAGATTTTCTGTTCCAGATAATGTTATTGAAAGTTAATGGTGTGTCTTCTTGCGACATCAATTTAGGAGTCACACGTGCCAAAACAACATCATCACTGCTGAGTTTACATTTCATCTTTTTAAAAGAAGTCCTCTTGAGACACACAAATAATGGAAATTTCCAAAGTAGTACCAAATTCAGATAAACCTCAGGAGTTGCAAAATGAAATTTTAATTGTACTGAGTGAGATAGATGCCTGGGGGCACTCCAGGGGAAAACAAAATGTCTGGATGCATTTAGAGCAAATGAGACAGATGAGGGGGACCAGCACGGTGAGGCCGCAGGTTAAGCTGCCATTTGCAACAAAGCATCCGTGTCCAAGCTCCAGTCTGATTCCCAACTGCTCTGTCTCCAGTCCAGCTCCCTGCTGGAAAAGCAGTGCGCAATGACCCAAGGGCCACTCTGGGTTCTGGTTGTGCTTGGAGGCACTCATGGCTCCTGGCTTCCACTGGCTCCACTGCGCCACACTGTGGTCACCTGGGGAGTGACACACAGGAGGGAGATCTCTCTGTGTTTGTTTCTATTTCCTATGTCTTTGCCTTCTAATAAACAAGCAAATAAATACATCTTTTAAAAAATGAAAAGTGTAATTACAGAGATAAATGTTAATGACCAAAAGAAGCTTACTCTGCATTTTTGATCATTTTGTGGCTCTTGTGTTGAGTTTGATGGCTTGATGATGACAGTGACAAGTCCGGTGTGCTGAACAGAAGTTTCCAAGTCTTTCTTCTCGCTGAGAGAAGTCAAGCAAGTTGTCTTCTTTCGCTGGACAGCACATTTTTTCCCCCTTTTTCTTGCTTTCCTTTTGATAATTTCTGAAAGAAAACCCTGAGTCTCAGAACAGAACGTACTATAGGAGTTACACTTTACGTGTAGAAACAATTTCTGGAAATGGAGCTAAATGGAATTCCTTCACACATAAGACTGACTTCAAAAAAATAATATACTTTGAAAAATTATTTATGTGTGCATTATCGATATGAATTGTATATCCTGCAATATTTCCAAACAACAAGGAAATAATCAATTAAAATATGATGACTATATGTGTAAAAATAAATTGAAATTCCAGAAGTGATAATATGCACTATAAGCATGTTAAAATAATAGAGAGGATTATCAGACTAGAATCACAGAAAACAGAAATCTCAGGAAAAAAGATTATTATGAAGCACATTTCCTTCACTGTCTAGAAACGGTTTTTGTTAGTGGCTAATGCTAGCATTTTTGCTTCCTTTTAAAGCAATCCTACAGGAAACAGTGACCCATCACACTGCCACACTGCCACCACAACAGTTATTGGGAGTCATTCAGTCACCATTTGCCTTTGATAGTGCTTCCCCAATGCTGGAGGAATGTTGAAGACAATCTGTTTGTTGACACGTGTTTTTGGTCCTCTTTGATCTCTAATAAAATAGTCAAATGTATTTTGACTTATGAGTAAATTTCATTTGCATTTACTGAACATGATCAGCCCTTCAGAGGCTGCTCAGCTTACTTCTTAATACACTTGCAACTTAGCAAATTTTCTGGGCATCGAAAGGGAGTATAGAGTGGTAATAAAAGACCAACATAAAAGGAACAATCCCCGACTCACAGGCACATACACACTAACTAACAACCAGCAGTGACTCAACACAATTTTCTAGCAAAACATGTTAGGATTCTAAGTCTTTTTCTTAAAATAATTGTTTTCATCCCTGAAATGACATTTTGAATTCAGTACTAGTCTTTCACCATCTCCACTTTACACATGAATAAACAGGTTAGCAAGGAACAAAAAGTCAGACCCAAAGACTCTGGTTTTAGTCTGTGCCAACCCTGTTACTCCTACCAGCTCACCTCTGAAGAATTTGCACTCTTGGACCCAGCCCAGTAACTCAAAACTATCCTCCCCTCACAAATGCAGGGATTCCTCATGGGCACCAGTTCATATCCTGGCTACTCCGCTTCCCATCCAGCTTCCTGCTTAAGGCCTGGAAAGGCAGAGGAGGATGGCCCAAAGCCTTGGGACCCTGCACCTGCATGGGATCAGCTCAGCTTTGGCTGTTATGGCCACTTGGGGAGTGAACCAGCAGATGGAGGATCTTTCTCTTTGTCTCTCCTTCACAATAAAATCCATCTTTTCAATAAAAATAAAATCAATCTTTTTTTTTTTTCAAAGAAAAGAGAGAATTTACACTTTATTCTTTGGTGTTCCTCTACTGCCTGCTCTGTCCCTCTGGGAACAATGTAAGTCATGAATCACCAGTTAGGTTTGGGAGTAGTGCCCTCCACTCCGTAAAATAATCAAGTCTTCCTTCTCCAAGATGGGAGATATGTGGAGATAGCCCATCTAAATCTTTATAGTTAATTCCCACCTTTCTGTTTCATGTTTCAAAATCTTTGGCACCAGTGTGGATGCTCGATTAGCTAATCCTCCACCTGCAAGTGCTAGGATCCCATATGTATGCCTGTTCATGTTTTGTCTGCCCCACTTCCCATCCAGCTCCCTGTTTGTGGCCTGGGAAAGCAGTGGAGGATGACGGACCAAAGCCTTAGGGAGACCTGGAAGAAGTTCCTGGCTACAGATTGGCTCAGCTCTGACCATTGTGGCCATATGGGGAGTTGACCAGCAGTTAGAAGATCTTTCTCTTTGTCTCTCTTTCTTTCTGCCTTTTCAATGAAAATAAATAAATCTTTAAAAAAAATCTTTGTACCTCTCTCTGACCATATATGTGAGCTTCATTTAGCTATAAATTAAAACACTCTGCAAATATTTTTGATGAGTTTCACATCCCACATCCACAGCATACAGCAATCTCTTGACTCTACTTTTAGAATAAATCCACACCAGACATTTCTCATCAGGCCCTTGTGTCCACACCTCTCATCCCTGCCCGCAGCCAGTCAAGTTGCCTCTCTGCTCTCACCTTGCCAGGACACATCCCTACCCTCAGATGGCAGAATTCTGTTGAAATCTGGTCCAGCAATGCCATTCCTTCCAGCAGCTCCCTGCAACAGATCTTCCCAGGGATTTAGTGGGCGTTCCCCCAAGACTTGATCTGCTCTCATCGTCCTCCAGTCATCACGCCCCAGTGACACGGACCTTGTCAACATCCTTCCACATGGCAGGCATTCGCCCACTGCAGTGCCCTAGTGCTTCTGTCCTCTCACCTGGGAAGTGCTTTGGCCACATATGTGCATAGCTAATTTATATTTATTGAAGTTATCCTTAAGTCCAATATTTTCCATTAGACTTCCAATGACAGCTTTATTTACACGTGTAAGTTCATCCCATTCCTGATCTCTAGCACTTATTTGTTTTTTTATTATATCAGCAAACATATTTTGAATCTAAAAAAGAATAAAGGTGATCTCACAGAAGATAAAAATATAATAGTGGATACCAGAAGCTGGGGAGGGCGGGGGGAGATAAGGAAAGTTTGACTAGCAGATAAGATGTAGCTAGCCAGCTCCATGAGCCACTGGCATCTCTTAGCTAGCCAGCATTACCAACTTTTGGTGTTAACATTGCACCATAGGGTGACTAATAGCATAACGATAATTTTCTCTGAAAAACGCCTAATGGGGTCAGTAGGGTGAATAAACGAACTAATTATCCCACAGGGGTGCTGGCTCATGGCCCAGCTGCTCCACTTCCAGTCCAGCTCTCTGCTTAACGGTCTGGGAAATCCATTGTGGCTAGATGCGGAGTGAACCAGCAAACGAAAAATCTTTTTGTTTCTCCTTCCTTCTCTCTGTAAATCTGCTTTTCCAATAAAAGAGGATAAATATTTTTTAAAAATCTAAAAGACTTTGAAAGTTTTTACCATAAAGAGATGTGAAATGCATAAGGAGATTGCTGTTTGCCCTGAATGACCAGTATACAGAGCAGGCACATACTGAAACATCACACTGCACATATGCACAATTTATATGTCTCCCTTAGAAGCTGCACAAAAATATTCTCACATATGATGCCTATAAATGTTATCTGTGCACTCTTCCTAACACTCGAATATAACTCTAACGGTAGGAAATTCATCCATTGCCTCCATTCCATTATCCCAAACTCTGTGAATGGGGCTTGGAACATAGTAGGTGATAAGATCGTTTTGTTGAGTAAATGAGTGAAACTAACACTTTAGTGGTAATCCTTGTTCCTGGAAAATTTCTAAGATTTTCACTTTATTATTTCATTCATCTTCACAGAAAACCCATGCTCACATTTAATTAAAACCCTGGCACACTAGCATTACTAAAATGACCCAAGTTTTTCTGTAGAGTGTTGATTATAGGAACAAGGAATAAAATAAAGAGACAATTATGTAAGATGTTCTCATCTCTGGGTTTCAGGTCAGAAAAGCGCTTTTTCTTTTTTAAAGATTTATTTTTAATTTTATTTGAAAGAGATACAGAAAGAAAGACAACGATATCTTCCAGTTGCTGGCTCACTCCCTAAGTGGTCCCCATGGCCAGAACCCAGTCGATCTGAAGGCAGGATCCATGTGATCTGAGTCTCCCATGTGGGCACAGGGGCCCAAGAATTTGTGCCATCCTCTGCTGCTTTTCGAGCCACGACATGAACTGGCACCCATACGGGATGCTGGTGTCGCACATGGAAGCAGAAGCCTAACCTACTAAGCCTACTGAGCTGGCCCCAGTGATGTGTTTTTGATGATCAGTTTTGAATAATGAAATATTATAATGCTTTTTAAATACGAAAAGTGAACTCTAAAGGACAACTTTGTTCTAAGCACCAATCTCCCACAAGGTTCTTCCCTAGACCAGCCCAGGGAATGGCTGTGGTGTGGATGTGCATGCTGACAGCAGGAGGTGGTCAGCTTTGGGACTGGCATGAGACCTGAGGCTTAGCCCAGGCTGGTGCTGGCACCCTGATGGAACGAGTCCAGAGAGCTCCCGTGCCATTTCTACCACACAGGGTCACAGCAAGAAATGCCGTACAGGGCGACTTCGAAGAGCTGACAGAAACTGGCCCGAATGATAAGAACGTCTGGGTGCAAAAAACGAAATCCTTGCATATTTTTACATGCATTTTCCTAAGTTTTTGAAGACCCCTCAAATGTACTCATTTCAGAATACATTTCTTTTAATTCCATTTCCCACTTCTTTTTGAAACACTGCATTCATGAGCCACGAAATGACTCAACCCCAAACCTCGGACCACGCCAGGTCTCGGGCTGGTCAGCCTCCAGAACAATGAGCAAAAAACTGACACTGACAGAACTGTGTTACAGGGCAGAAGCTGACAACAGAGACTGTGCCATCCGCTGCCTGCTGGCATTAAGCCACCTTACAAGTATGAAATACCACTAGCAGGAAAGGTAAACTCAACCTGTGAGCTGACTTGATCTGTAAGAAGAGGCACACATTACAGAAATAATAATAATGATAGTATTACGATGATGAAGGCATTCTCAGTTATGTAATTTTGTCATCACAGTAACTCTGTGAGAAAGGTTTTACAAACATCATCACTTCCATTTCGTGGACAAGAAAATACAGTTTAGAAAGCTTACGTTGCTTTTCCAAGGCCACATAATTTTCAGAGCTGGAATTCAAAAAGTAGGGCTCTTTTCAACCAGCATCTCACACACAAAAAAAAAACGCTGAAAAATGTCTCTCAACACAGCCGTTTCCTGTTGAAAGATACAGAAGGAATATGTTGAAACTAGAATCATTTTAAAACTGCAAAGCCTATGCTTTATTAAGCGTCCACCGAAAGAATGAAGCCAGCAACTAAAGCTAAAGGCAGCTCCTTCAGACCCTCCTCCGGGCTGCGGGGCAGAGTGGAGGCTGCAGACACCGAGCAGCTCACCCTCCGAGCTCTGTCTGGCTGTCATCCTGACTTCGCCCTGTGCAATCGGGGAAGTTCTGTTCCTGGTCTGCACTCACAAACGGCACAGGGCTCAGGAGCCGTCGCTGTGCTGCATCACGGAACAAGGTGCCGCTGGCCCAGTGTCAGAGGATTCCGTGGGAAGATTGGAGCTTTCACAGAGAAGTCCATCCTGTTCTCTGCTACAAACCGGAGTAGTCTTCACAGCATTCAGTGTGTTTTTAGTTTTAGTCCCGGGTAGCTAAGATGTCTTCAACACTCTGCTTTCCTCAGAGCATCATCAACATCCTGCACCATGACCCCATGCTTGCCTGGCAATGGTTGGAAGGGAATGATCATTCTAGAAAGAGGAAGGCTAACTCCAGGATCAGAAGATGTCGTTACCTGCACTTTTACACACATCACAGCTTCCCCTGTGTTTGCTTTCAAATACCTAATATGATAAAGAGGACCATGGAGGGACCTTTTTTTGGTATGCTTTCATTATTATTAAAGTACCATTAGCAGTAATCTCCCATTTTTTATGCAGTTTCTTGGGGCTTCACTTGTTACATTCCAACTAGAGATATTACAAGTTGGAGCTTACAAGGTTAGTTTTTGCTTTCTGGATTTTTCTTCTTTCATTCCCCTGCAGAGCTGTGTGGAAAGAGCACAACAGGCTGGGTCCAGCTCGAACCCAGCCCAGCCGTGCCCACGGAGAGGAGGTTCAGTGAATGCCTTCCGGGTGCCTGCAGCCACTGCCTCTGGAGCAGCTTGTAAGTGCAGCCACTTGGGGAGTCCCGCTAATCGTGCCCCATGCCTCCCTTCTATTAGGATAACATGACATACATCAGAATGTACAAGCTGCTTCTCAGAAGCTGATTTCCCCTAAGGCTGCTTGTCTCTATGGCCCCAAGTATAGGTCATCATCATGACTCATTTTAATGTGTGGTCTGTGATCAGACCTTGAAGCATTCCCCACATGATTTTAAAAATATCACAGCAACCTACTTAGCTGATTCCTCCAGGAAAGCAGTGGGTAGCCTATGGAGCTTAGAGAGTTCTGAGTTTGCCCAGCACTGTCAATTTAACAGCATCTGAGACTCACAGCCCTGTCTCCAATGTGCAAAACTTCCATGCTATTTCACACTCTGTGACCTCAGTGTCTCTCCATCCTCTTGTCCTTAGACAAGGCTCAGGTAAGCCTCAACCACTACGACAAACAGCACTCCACTGCCTGGACCAGTGCTCCATGACCAGTGACTCCAGGACACTGACAGTCCCTGGTTGAGCGGCATTTGGTCTGGGAAGCTTCATACACATCTGCGTTGTGCTTCTGTGAGATGATTCATGACTTCATTGAAGTATCAAGGGCAATGGAAACTCTGAAAATGCTAGAACCATGGCTGAAAGCCTGTATTCAAATGACACATCTGTATCTTCTCACCTTAGGCAACTGGGGATGAAACAGCCCAGCATCACAGATCGAGTAAGGTCAGTTCTCACACAGTTCCATTTCCTTTTCCATCTGAAACAGAGGTGGAATCACATCTTCCATCTGCCCCAAGAAAAGAGAGGAAGAAGAAGATGGAAGAAAAACGTCACCCACAGGAAAAGGGCAGGTCATCCCAGATATGTAAATGCTTGCTGTTTCTAAGCAACCCAAGCCCAAGCGAGGGAATGGCAAGAGCCCTGTCTCTGTCCCTTCAACATCACTGTTTACGCCAAGCAACAAGGCTGAGTGCTGACTCGGATACAGCAAAGGATGTGCCTTAGTCTGGAGGGCCACCACAAGGCACCCCCGCCTGGCACCTTCCATGGCCCTCATTTCTTCTCTCACAGCTCTAGAGGTTAGCAGACCAAGACCAACGATCCAGCTTAAAGGAATTTCTGGCTGCCCACAGGGGGCTGTGGTGGGGTGGGGAGTTCTCCATGTCTTCTCATAAGGACTCCAATCCTGCTGGACTGGATGCCCACCTGAGGACACCACCCAAATGACCTCCTTGCTGGCTCCATCTGGAAATACCACCACCCTGGGAATTAAGTCTTCGACATGAGCATTGTGGGAGCGTGGATACAAATACTCTGTTAGTAACTGATCTATGATGTAAAAGTATATCTACAATAAATATGGTGAACTCTGATGGCTAGAGAACACTGTATGGGAGGGATGGCGTCCCTGTGGGGTGGGGAGGGTGGGCGCATTTAAAGGAGTGCTAACGTTTGCAGTTTTTCTTGTGAAACCTTCTGATATGTTTGAAGGCTTTTGTTTAACGAGAATGTTTCATCAGTTTCCACAAGATACATTTTCACAGAAAACGTATTTCACTTCTTTGCTGGGAGCTGCATGGTCTTACAGCGCCAACAGATACAGGAAGTAATTCAGGAATACACTTCCCATGTCTCCAAGGTCAGGATGATAAAACCATTTAAGGGTGTACACACGTACACACACACACACACAGAGGCATATGAATACCATGTTATGCCTATGAGCTTTGGAATGCTGAAATCTCAATGTATGCACATTGAAATTTACACTTCAAACATTTGTATTCACCGTTTGTTCAGTCATCCAACATGCTGAACAGTAGCCACTGAGCATTTCCTATGTCAGAAATGAAAAATAAAGATGTAGATAGAGGAAATACAGGAAAACTCCATTTGTGGCTGAATATTAAGGTTGGGAGATGACAAGAGAGAACAGAAAATGGCCGGAGGATGCAATCAGGCCAGCGGTGCCTGGCAGTGAAGGTGGCACCTGGCAGGACCTGGCCTGCGACGGGGAGGAAGAGGAGCCGCCTGTTTCTGGCACAGGTATAGCCCTGTCTCTCTGTTGGACAGCGCCAGTCTGCACATGGATGCTCCTAGCTTACATCTGTATGCAAAACAAAGAGCTGAGGTGACCCCATACACCGCCAGTCTGTCAGCTATATGAATCACCTATAAATCATACGTCAATCATACAGTCCAGAAATTTAGCATCTCTGGATTTGCTTCTAAATTGTAATGACAAGGGTGACCAACAAGTGGAACACATTTTTCTCATATTAAAAAGTGAGACTTGGAAAAAAGACCTGCAAAACAGTCATTGGACAAGTGGCCACGTAGACAAAGAATTTTCCAGAAAAAGGAGCAATATATGTCTCACGTGTGCCAGGCAGTGGCTAAGGGCGAAAGGAGCAGATGGGGACACTGGTGCACAGCGGCAGATGACAGAGCCTGACAGAACCCTGCGAGGACTTTGTGGTTTGTTCGGTAAGAAATGGAGTCATTTGCAGGCTACTGACCCTGGGAGAAACCAGACCTGACCCTAGGCTGAAAGGAACACGGTGCCTCCAGGAGGTAAGATGCCAAGTTGGCAGACACTCAGAGTAGAAAAGGAGGACCCGTGATGAGGCTCTGTGCGGGCGAGACACCTGCTGGCTGGAGCCAGGGATGAAAGCAGGCGTGTGTGCTCAGGAGCGCGAGCCAAGTCCTCACAGACAGAGACGGGGAGGGAAGGAGTGCGGGACGGACGGCTAAGGACTGGAAGGGTGAAGTGGCTTCATGTACAAACGTGTCTGCCTGTGCGTGTAATGCACATACAAGTCTAATCATAGATATATCTGCACATGTGTATAAATGATATATGCCAGCAAGTTTGTGTGAAAATGAAATAAAATTTCTTTTGAAATTCATGCATAGTTTTTTTTACAAAATGCATTTTTGAAATGATTTTCTATTTATTTGAAATTTGCACTTATGGGAGGAGGGGGAGAGAGAGGATTCAATCTACTGGCTCATTTTCAAACGGCTGCCAAGAGTCAGGGCTGGGAGCTTCAGCTGGGTCTCCCTCACTGGTGCACGGCTCAAACAACCTAGGCCAACTTCCTTTGCTTTCCCACGTCTACTCGTAGGAAGTAGGAGGAGAAATGGAGCAGCTGGGATTCCCACCAGATCCACATGGAATGCCTGTGCTCAACGTGGCTGCCTACCATGGCACCAGCTCCACAAAACACATTTCCTAGCATTTTTTTTTAAAAAAAGATTAGTTTATTTTTATTGGAAAGGCAGATATACAAAGAGGAGGAGAGACAAAGAGGAAGATCTTCCATCTGCTGGTTCACTCCCCAAGTGACCACAATGGCCAGAGCTACACCAATCCTAAGCCAGGAACCTCCCCCAGGTCTCCCACACAGGTGCAGGGTTCCAAGGCTTTGGGCCGTCCTCGAATGCTTTCCCAGGCCACAGGTAGGGAGCTGGAAGGGAAGTGGGGCCGTTGGGATTAGAATTGATGCCATATGGGATCCTGGTACATGTAAGGCAAGGACTTTAACTGTTAGGCTAACACGCTAGACCCTCCTATGAATTTTTGAAAACTATTTATAAAAAGCATTGTCACATATTTAAAAAGTTTGTTCTACTCACAGTTATTTCTGTGACAATTATTTGATTTATCACAATGCAAAATACAAAGTAGTCAGAATAATGCCAGCTACACAGCAAGATAAACATTTGTTATTTCAATCCATGTTTGCCTTAACTGCATATGCCTCCTCAGGGCTCAATTATTTATTTTCCTGTGAGACTTGGACTCGTTAATAGCTTCTGGGCCAGAATGAAGCTACCACATGACCTAGAAATTCAGCCTACTGAGTAGAAAAAGAAACTGTGAAACTTTTCTTTAGCAGCTCTATTTCATGACAAACCTTCCAGACAGAGCAAAACCATGCTCGGAAAGCACACGCAGCTGCTTCCCTGGTCAGAGTCCCGAGGCCACCTGGCTGTGGGAGCACGGTGCTGCTGTCGTCGCCCAGGATAAGGAGGACACACCAGGTGACACAGCCCAGAACAAAGGCCCTGACAGGACCGCAGGAGGAATCGGGTGCTCGAGCAAGTCTTGTGCAGAATGGCATGACATTAAGTTAAAAAAAAAAATCAAAGTTCAAGGATCCTAATAGCCTGAGGAAAAATATCATCTCACCATCACGGGCACTCTCATTTGGGATCATTCCTGTATTTTTTAAATGCATTTAATCCATAATCGTATTACTAAACTCAAATGAAGCCATACTTTTATATTTTCATATACAGACAGATGCAGTTTTTTTTTAATGGTAAGTGAAAATACTGCACGGATGACTTGACGAAATGTAGCACAAATTACCTTCAAACTGGCGGCAAGCATAACAAGTAGACTAGAATGTTTTTGTCACAATTGGAGCATGGGCGCTGTCTTTACATTGTCAAGCCAAAAGTAAGAAATTGAACCCCAACTGGAAAGATATGAAAAAGAGGTTGCAAATCAATGTCCAGCTGAAATTCAGCAGCCATCGGAATGGAGCAGACAGCCTGCAGTTTTTAAATGATAGATCTATTAGCAGCCCTGCCTGCTGGGCGCTTTCTCCATGCCGCACAGCACACTGGAAATCGTGTACTTTCCTCTTGACATTTTAGTGTCATAACAGGGGGTAAATTAAAACCTGGACTACCTGAGTAACAGATTTTTTTCTTCCATTCAGGTAATTAAAGATAACAGCTGGAGTTTTGAGTTACATTGACATGTTTAGGAAGAGAAAGAAAAATGATCCCTGACCGTCGCTCTGGAATCCCGGTGGGAGCCAAGTGGCTTTCTGCGCGTAGAATGATTCGTTTGAGCTCAGAAGAGCTCTCGTTGCTCCCACTTCCTTGTGGATTTGATAATTTTGCATTTCAAAATATTCAACCATGACAATGTTTACAAGTAGTACAGCCTTGTAAAATGTATGAAAATCAAAAGTTATTTATAAAAAAATCTTTCTGTCCAAGGAGACCAGGATTCTGGCTCAAGAAGCAAGTCTGGATGACCCGAGCGTGAGTTGCTCTGTCCATCGTCCTGACAAGCAGAAGTGTGTGCTGTTTCTATTTGCAGCCGTAGGGAAGGCTAGCAAGGGACTTTGTCTTGCTCTTTCCTTCCTCATAAGCTCAACCTTTCTGGCTTTCAGATTCCAATTTTATTTGTGTAATTAATCAGATGGTATAAAATGTCAGAATACCAATCTAATTAATTCAAATATGGGGATAAATAGGGACACCCCTACCAGTCCCAGTAACGGGGCTATAATGTCATGTCTGGCGACGGCAACAGCTCTGGCTTCTATGTCATCACGCCGTGAAGGTTAAGTTGATTACCCCTGCTGTAATCAAAAGCTGCCTATCGGCCACCTCGCTGTAATTACAGCTCTTCGAGACTATTTTCATGCCAGGAAAGCTCCTACACTTGCCTCATGAGAGGCATGATTAAAGCTGTCAGTCCTCAAAAGTCAAGTGCAGGAGAGCAGAGAATGGGATGCTTTAGGTCTCTACCACAGACAAAGGAAGAATTCAACACAGAGAAGAGTTCACGTGCAAGAAGCTAGGAACACTTCGGGATGAAAGGCATTGGGTCATGGTGAGCTATTTTCACGGAGTTTTCTGAACAAATGGAGGAAAATGTTTGGAGAGACCAAGGAAAGGAGTACATGCTAATGTCCTCAGGGGTGAGCGGGACCTATGAATCCCTGGTTTTTCTCACACCAGAGCCAACTTCAACCAGTT